AAAACTTTGGGGACTTAATCTGCATGCACGTACGGGCCCCCATCCCCAAAATGGGCGGTCTTTCCCGCGTGGTCCCCCCGTAAGACCCCGCCAAAGTTTTTTACGGGTAAGCCGCTAACTCGCGAACCACAAAAGCTAGAGAGCTGAAATTTTATGGGAATGTTCCCCGTCCAAGCAGGTACTAATGAGCTCAAGTCCAGCCCCCGGGTAAGCGATTTAGCTTGGTACCCGCGTACGAGCCCCCCCAAAATTTTTCCCGCGTAAATTCATAACTCGGGGTCCTGAGATGCTAGAAAGCTGAAATTTTAGGAGAATGTTCCTCGTCCAAGCAGGTGCTAATGAGCTCAAATCCAGCCCCCGGGTAAGCGTGGTACCCGCGTACGAGCCTCCCAAAATTTTTCCCGCGCAAATTCATAACTCGGGGTTCAGAGATGCTAGGAAGCTGAAATTTCTCCCGCGTAAATTCATAACTCGGGTTCTGAGAAGCTAGAGAGTTGAAATCTTAGGGGGGCGTTCCCTGTCTAAGTGGGTATTAACGAGTTCAAACCCTGCCCGTGGGTAGGCGTGGTACCTACGTACAGGCCCGTGAAAAGTTCCTTCCGGGCAAGTTACTTACTCGAGAACGCGAGAAGCTAGAAGACTGGAATTTTGAGGGGATGTTTCCTGACGGTTCTGGTGGCCAATGTGAAATTCTCTCAGTTAGAAGCATCTGCCGAAAAAACCGATGCCGGTAGCGACAGAAACTGCGGGGAGCTCTGCAAAAAACGCATCTTCGCACGGGCAGCCCGTGCGTTGGCCAATTATTTACTAAAGACTTTGTGAATTTACATATTCACAATCAGCAATAAACCCGCTGCTTATGCAAATTGGGCGTATGCATTTCCAAAAGAAACTGCTCCAGCAACTATGCATTCGCGCTCGCGGTGATATAGGCTTTGAATGAGTTTTCAGTTAACACAGGATTCTTCTGAAATGCTGCTGCAGTTACGAAAGCGTAGCCCGACTAGCAAAGTAGCCTCGCGGGACACAACCACCAAGACTCTGCTCTCTCGGCCACGCAATACACATTCGTCTTCAGATCAGTAAGACATTCATAAACATGTGCAATTTACGCTTTTGTGTTTCAGCAGGATTTAAATGAAGAAAGCAGAGGTAGGGGCGTTGCTTTCTCGCTCCAGAACCTGAACCCAGGCTAGAACGCACCAGCCTTACCGGTGCGATCATGCATTTTCGTACTAAACTCGCAGATCGCTAAAAGCAGGAATGATTCCTCCACTGCACTTAGGCTCATATTAGCCGTGCCTTGGCCCTTTCCAGCATACAGGATAAAGGGCGTCTGTTTGGGATGAACATGTTGCTTTATAGGGCCGCATGGACCTTCAGGTACATGATTACCAGTTTTTTGCACGAAGCCCGGTCGTTTTCTCGGCAAATACTCGCTCTTCGAAAAAGTGCAAATTTCAAGTTCACTGAAAAGCGGAAATGTTGCAAGAGCGCTCGTTCGTCAAAAAATCCGAGTATGCAAATGAACTGGATGTTCATTTACATGTTTGGATGAGGGCGGTCGTTCGCTGCAAACGCACACGCTTATAATTTTTCCGTAAAGTTAACTATTTTTCGTGCCATCTGCGGGGAGTTTCACTTACAGGCAGAACTAATACCGCAATTCAAAGTAGAATATCCCGGAGAAGTTTCGACCTCGCACCTTATCCGATAAACGAAATAGCCGCTTCGCTACTAATACTTTTAAAGTGCCCTAAGTCGTGGCGCAGGTGCATATCGGTATTCATTTTAGACATGTGAATGTGGGCGACAAACATGCTGACAAAATTTCAGCCACTGTTTTTTAGCAAGTTTTCGAGTTAGCATGTGCCAGGGTGCAAACTTTACATGATCGTGCGTGCTGCACAAACGTGTGCGACAGATGAAATTGAAATTTTTAGCTCGCATATGCACAGAGAATACCCCTGAGTAAAAATTTTTATGAGATGAGTGTTTACGTGTGTGGATCGCTGTTCTGAGCGTACGCGCACTGTAGAGAAGCAAAATACTGATAATAAATCGCACTGTAGAGAAGCAAAATACTGATAATAATAAAATACTGATAATAAATCGTGCAAACAGGAAATAAACAGCACGAAGTATGGCGCTTATAATCTATCGGGACTGTGAGCTTGACGAGCAACAGTCGTTATAGCAGAGCATGGTTGACGAGGGCCAGGAGCATATTAGGCAAAGTCGAATCCTTGAGGATCCCGTCGAGAAGACTGAGAGCCGTCGTCCCGGTGAAGGAGAAAACTGAGACCTCGAAGAATGGTGGAGAGGTTTATAAAGGGTGACAGTTTTTTGAAGGGGTTGAAAATGTGAAAACGATAATTAAGGTAAAGTGAGATGTGAAAAGGGAAAATGGAAATAAGTGTTTTAAAGGGGTTTAAAAAAAAGGGAATGAAAGGAAAAATAAGGAAGTAGAACGGCTGGGGATACAAGCGCATTCCAAAATAGGAGTAAAACGGGAGAAGAGGAACGCATATGTGATTAGGTTTTTACGGGTGTGAAAAAATAGGGAAGAGGAAAATGCAGAAAACTGCAAACACGCAGGAATGCAAGTTGCATTCTGAGTCATAGGGCAAAAAGAGAAAAGAAAACAGAAAAAAATGTATGATTTTTATAATGAGGAAAGCAAACTTTACACCTGCAAAATTTCAGCTTTGTACCTTGCTTGGTTTGCGAAGTCGTTTCCCACCAAAAAAATCTGCATATTTTTTCGCGAGTCCGTACGTGGGATTCAGGTACCGTGGGGGAAGATCTTAAAACAGGAGGGTGACACACGGGGTAGGAACATATACCCAAAATTTCAGTCTCCCAGCTCCCCTGGTTACTGAGATGAAAATGGATGACAAAATTCACTCGCTTCCAAACACATACAAACACACGCACACACACAGATGACCTCTCGACAATATAAGTTATTGCTCGCTATAGCAGCGCTGTAGCGCTACACAGCAAAAACGCATAAAAATCCTTGTTTTTTAGTATGCATTCAGTTCCCGGATATATCGCATAAGTAAATTAATTTTGATCTGTGAAAGTGGAGAAACCAGGTCGCGAGCTTAGTAACAGAAAGCTTTATCGTTGTGAGCGTCCTTAATGCGGGAAATCGGTTTGTCAGCAGTACTACGTATGCTCAGTGAGCATGACATGTGTAGGACAGTAAATGGCATGTGCGCCTTTTCAAGCGTGTCTTGTTGCTCCGCACAGTAATAAGGAGAAAGAATTTTCGCGTTTATGACGACCAGCCATAGGACAAAGCGGTGGCCAGTAAAATGTTATTTTTATGCGTTCTTTGCATCTATGCAATGCAAAAATGCATACTGTCGAGGGGTTGTCTGTATGTGTATGTGTGTGTCTGTATGTCTATGTGCGTCTACACGGAATTTTCATTTCAAGACCTACCGAACGCTACAAGGCTAAAACTTTGGCAACTTACTCTGCACCTATGTAAGGCCTTCTACCTTCAAAGTGATCACTCACACCCGTGTGGTACTCATGTGCGGGCGCGTGAAAGTTCTTGGCGGGAAAATTGCTAACTCGGGAGCCAGAAAAGCTGGACGGCTGAAATTTTAAAGGGAGGAACTGAGTTTCAATTAACTGATACAAAATTAATTACAAAACTGATACAAAACTTTTGTAAACAAGTTGGCCAACGCTCCGATTTATTCAGTTTCTGGTTTATTCAGATTGCTTTCTCGCTTAACTTGTACAGCACTTTTACCACTGCTTTTTTCGTTCATATCTCCCTGAAACAGAAAAACAAAAATTGCACATGCTTATGAATGTCTTACTGATCCGAAGACGAATGCCTGTTGCGCATCCGGGCCGAGCAGAGTTTTAGTAGTTATGTCCCGCGAGGCTCCTTTGCTAGTCGGGCTACTCTTTCGTAACTCCAGCACCATTTTAGATGAATCATGTGCAAGCTGAAAGATCATTCATAGCCTATATCACTGTGAGCGCGAATGCATCGTTGCTGGGGCAGTTTCTTTTGAAAATGCATACGCCCAATTTGCATAAACAGCAGGTTTATTGCTGATTGTGAATACGTAAATTTTCAAAGTCCTTTAGTAGAAAATTAACTAAGAAGCGCCATAAAAGCGAGCGAAATGGCCAGTGAAGTAGTAATAAGACTGGAAACGACAAATACTGGCGCGCGCATCCACTGCGGATGACTGAGGAATTCTTCCTGAAGGTGCGCTAAACCATGGTCCTGCCATACGGTCGTCACCACAAGAGCGAGGGACTGCTGGAGAACCGGTATGGT